AGAGATGATAACTAAGCCCCATGGTAGCTGATGAAGTCACCAAGAGAGATTTCATTCCATGTGTGGACCATGTCAACATATTGAAATTTGTACATTAAATGTTAAGTGGAAAAAAGTAGAACACAAAAGAGTATGTGTGCACATTAACAAAATTTAGAAGGAAATTTGGAACCATATAGAGTTTAAAATTAGGGTTTTTTTATCCCAAATGAGAAAGTCCATAAATATTTTATAAACCTCAAAATTCTATAAAATAGTAGTAGTAATAGTAATAGCAGTACTAATCGAGTTGCTTAAATTTATTGTTTTACAAAAAAAAATCTTCTATGTTTCTTGAGGATTACTTACTTCAAAAATATATTCCTTGTTTCACAAGACTGCACATGTATAATGTCAAATTATATGTCAAATTACATGTCTTCTCGATCAGGGCAGAGGGGAGGAAAAGAGGGAGAGAGAGAATTTGGAACTCAAAGCTTTAAGAAACATGTTAAAAATAATTTTACATGTAACTGGGGGAAGTATTAAATAAATAATTCAAAAAATTAAAGATTTTATTTATTACATATGTTATATATTTTATATGTTACATATATTTCTTTTCAAATCAAAATCATATTATTGTTATAAGGCTCTTTTCTAAAACTAAATAACTACAGGATGTATTCCTTTCTTCTCTCTGTCCTGCCAAAATAGTGAACTTAACTGCATTGAGATGCTTCTTACAGTATAATACATGAAACATGACAATCTCAACTTTTTTTAACCTTTCCTTCACCCCAAGTAAATTGATACAAATACCTTTTTTCTCCTGCCTATTTCATAATGAAAGTCCTTTGGGTAAAAGAAGTAGTTAGCAAAAATGTGACTATTACCCAGACTTTAAATAATCTTTAGTACAGAACATAGTAGACAATAAATACTCACTCGATTGGCTCACTAATCTCTCATTCTTCCATTGCATAACAATAAGAAGTATAACCTACCATTTCCTCTTCCCCCACTATTCTATTATCCTAATCAAATATCACAGCTTGCCATTTTCATCTATTAAAAAATTTTTAGGACTCTCTTCAAGATGGTGGAATGAGTGGAAGAAGAACAACCCAGTTCTGAAACAACTACTCCAGCAAGAATATAAAAAATAGAGGACAGGATGACAAAATGATCAAGAAACCCAAGGAGAAAACTGCAGTTAACCGCATTTTGCTAGCCAAGGTATACACAAAGACACAGCCAGAAGCCTAACTACATGCACTAAAGAAGGGGTCCAAAAAGGAAAGGCTCAGGAGCATAGACTTAGAAGCCTTCCAGCTCTGATTCGAAGAAGCCTGAAGTCTGAAGCTGGGGAGAGGGGCACACAGACTAGGGTCCTGACAAGGATTCTTAGAGCTTTCATCTATGTCATTCTGTCCCACAATCAGGGCCAAGAAGCTTGCTGGACACAGATAAGGAAAGCAAAGATCAGCATGCACCCAAGATCAAACTATCCTTGAGTATACTACACAGATTTGACAGCCATCCTGTGTATACCTCTTCACACAGCAAGCTAGTCAGAAGCTCCTGAGGTTCCTGAAGAACATTGCACTCATTACCTAGGCTCAAGCTAAGGCAGATCAGTACCAAAGAAGGCCCACCATTTCTCCCAGAAGTGAACAAAGCCTGACCCCCAACACCAAGTCCCAATTCAGGAAGACAGGCTGGAAAAATGAGTAAACACAAGAAAATACCAATAACAAAAACATATTATGGAGCCAGGGAAGCTTACAGTGCAAATTCAGAAACAGAATGACAATACATTATCTATAAGCAAAGCCCCAAAGACAACCACAGATTTGCCATAAGCACTACTGGAATTCCTGGAAGAATAGAAGAAAGAGTTTTCAACTGACCATATAAATTAAATGAGAGCTTTAGAGAAAAGAATCAAAAAGGAAATAACTATAGAAGAAAGGATGGGAAACAAAATGAGAGCTGTAAAGAATTGGAAGGAAAATAAACAGCTTAGTACAAAAGTGCAAAACCTTACTCAAGTAGCATATTCTTTGAAAATTGGATTGAGACAAAATATTTGAACAAAATCAAAAGATTGAAAAAATATAAAAAATATAAAGAATCTCCATATTAAAAACTAGTGACTGGAAAACAAGTCAAGGAAAGATAATCTGAGAAGCATCAGACTATTGAAACACTTCACCCATAAAAAAAGTCTAGATACCATATTTTAAAAATCATAAATGAAAACTTCCCAGACCTATTACAACCAGAGGGCTAAGTGAAAAAAGAATCTATTAGTCACTTCCTGAAAGAAACCTCAAAAGGAAAACTCCCAGTAATGTCACAGCCAAAATCCAGAGCTTCCAGGTCAAATAAAAAAATACAGAAAGAATCCAGAATGAAAGTGTTCAAGCACCCAAGAAGAAAGTCACAGTCAGGACCATGTAAGACCTGGTAGCTACAACTACAAAGGACAGAAAAGCTTGGGAAATGATATTCCAGAGGACAAATAATTAATTTGTCTTAATTAAGGCTTAATACCAAGACTAACTTGGCAAAGCTGAATATAACTGGCGGGTGGAGGAAGAGAGCACATGGGAAATGGACAAATGGACCTTTGATGAAATAGAGGGTTTCCAAGTATTCCTAATGAAAAGACCAGAACTGGGTAGATACTTTGAAAGGCAAGCAAACAAGCTGAAACAAACACAGAAAGGTAGAACTATTTGAACAATCAGAAGGGTATTTATAATGATGAAATGTTTACACTCTAAAGTGGGCAAAGAAACAAGGATTCTATTAGAACATTAATGTTTTCAATAGTGATTAATAGAGCTTAAAACTGTCTGGTACCAATTTTGTTGTATTTTTATGATCTTAAAAGAAAAAAGAAAAGGGAAGGAAAAAAGAATGCATTGGGGAAGGAAAAGGAGGATGGAACTTATTATCTCTCATAAGCAGGGTGCTTCTGTAGAAGCTATACAAACAAGGAAGAAAGGATGGGGAGAACAGACTAAATACAAATCTTACTTCCATCTGAACCCAACAAAGGAGAGCTGAATTCATACATATAGTGTGGTGCAGAACTATGTTAAACTCAACAGATAATCAGACAGGTATTAGGAGAGAGTGGGGAGGGGAATTAAGAAGGATTATAGATTCAGGGAGGTATTAATTATAAATAACACCAATTCCACTTTCCTAGAGTGGTCTAAAAGGAAAGAAAGAAAAGATAGGAATATATGTTCAGGGCCTGAGCAAGGGGAAAAGAAGAAAAGTAGTAGAATGAAAGTTTACTGCATCAAAAATGGATCACTAATGTTAAGCATATCTCTCTGAACACTTCTTTTTTCTTTATAAAGAGAAGGAAGAGTGTCAAAGACAGAAAAACAGTATAAAGAATAGGATAGACAGAAATATACAATTAATGATGATAATTTTGAGTGTAAAAACAGAAAAGGGTAGCAAAATGGATTAGAAAGCAGAATCCAATAGTAAGTTGATAAGTAACACATTCAAAACAGATTCACAAAGTCAAAATAAAAGATGGAGCCAAATCCATTAAGCTTCAGTGAACTTTAAAAAGCAGGAATAGCAATGCTTATTGATCCCAGAGAAGGCAAAAATTAAAAATTTCTAACCCACATCTTTCAGGACAGCTTACCCACTTAGCAGGCATGTGTATCTTATTCAAGGTCCTTTCCCCCTAAATTTAGGCAAATTTCTAAGTCACTTTTTTTTTTAAAAAAAAATCAAATACAGACCAGTCTCTCTTAATACAAAATTCCCTAGAAAACCACCTCTCATGATGTGCAGTATTTAGTGATGGAGGAAGAAAGGCCTCTTCCCAGTCAATTCAAGAATAACTATAAGAACTCCTTAGAGGCTAAACAAAGACTCATCAATGTTTTGATGGGTCAATCTTTTAGCAGGTCTTTGAATTTAGTTAAGATATCTTTAAGCAGCCCTAAAAATCTAGAGCTGCCTGCTCCCCAGGTCACTGCACTTGGTAGGTAAACATACCTTATTGCTTTGGAGAAACTGAGATATTCACAGTTACAGGAATAAATAATATATGTAAGTATACATGACATCAATCATTATTGCTGACTGAATGAGAATAATTTTCTTGCCTAGAAAAACCTACTCCTGTGACAAATACAATCCACATCATAATTATCGTCACAAGGAGGTGACTCTGCATAATGTTAGGTGTTCCATTATAAAATAAGGATAACACATAATCAATGCTCTTAAACAGACAAAAGCTGAAAAAATAAATACATAATAACAAACAGCAAAATGGCACAATATACTTTAGCGATATATATAATTCATATTGTTGACTGACTAGGAATAAGATGGAGTAGTGCTTTAGAAATGATTTTGGCATCATGCCACAAGAAAACCTTGACTAGGCATTTTTCTTCTATGTTAGTGTCCCTTCCTCTATCTATCCTGCTTTTATTGTATATGAGCCCCATATTGATTAATCAGAAACATTTCTAAAAGCTAGTTATTTTTTATTACAATAAATGTATTAAAACTCAGAATTCTTTAAACTGACACAAAATACTGCAACACATATTACAGAAATAAATTATTAAGTGACCAGGGTTTGAGTTGAACAAGATATTTAATTTGTGTGAATGATTATTATATTAAATGATACTTTACCACCACAGCATAGAGACCAGTTAGGTTTTCCATCAACCATGGGGTAGATCAGACAGAATGTAGGTATAAAAAGGTATTTAATCTTCAAAAGGTATATACTAGCCTTAAGTTACATAATAGGAGCTTAATAAATACTTGTTAATTGATAGTTACCCACAGGGTCAATTCAGGGTTTTAGACCTGTGTAAAAAAAAATGGACATTCATCCGTTGGTATTAGAATTAGAAAGTTGGAGCTGGAAGAGACCTCAGACACCACCTAGTTCAACCTCCTCATTTTAGAGGTGAGAAACTGAGGCCCCAAAAGAAGATGAGATAAGAGGTTACCTCCAACAAGGTAATGGCTCCAGTGAAATCTCTTTGTGACAGCAGCTCTTCTAGTTTTGGAATCTTTCTTCCTTTCTTCTTCCGCTTGTCAGTCTGCTGTAGGTCTCCACCTACAGCAGGCTTGGCTCTTGAAAGCATCTGAAAAGGACAAGGAAAATAGCACTGTGGTTTGAAATGGGCTTTATCCAAACAGAAACACACAATTCTAGCATCAACAGATCCTGTTACAAAAGAATTCCAAGGGACTGTTGAAATTCCTTCCTCGGAAAGAAGACAAATATTTAAAAAAAAAAGAGAGAGAGAGAAAGTGGAGAAATATTCTCTCCGACCTGGAAACATTTGTGTTAAGGAAATTCTTGCTGTAATAGCATTTCAAAGGATCAGATTTAGAAGACACCTAGTCCAACTCCTTCATTTTACAGATGAGAAAAATGAGACCAAGGTTAAATGATTTGCCCAAGGCCACACAGGTAATAAGAATCGGCATGGAGTCAAACCCACTTGCTCCAGCTCCAGATCCTGCATTTTGTCCAATGCACTAGTGAAGAAGCAAACGGGTGCAGAAGCCTTGGCTTTCCGCTCCTTTCTGCTCGTCCACGGAATTAAACGGCTCCTCAGCTGTCTTTTCCCACACTCCCAATTTACCCTCGAGGAGGGGATCAGCTGCTCTAGCACGGCTTCCCCCTCACGCCTTTTTCTAGGCTCTTCAACCCAAGTCTCCCGGCTCCCTTGCAAATCTGGCTCTGGGCAGAGGTGATTGCAGGGCCGGTGGTATCCGTGGTGATGGAGAAGGAGGAGGAGGAGGACGGGTAGGAGGGGGAGGACGAGGAGGAGGGGAGAAGAACAAGGAGGGAGGGGGGGAATAAAGGTGGGAGGAAGAGGAGGAAGGAGAAAGGGAGAGAAGGAAAAGGGGGGTGAGAAGCGAAAGGAGGAGACGGAGGGGAAGAAGGGAGTGAGAAGGCGGGGATGAAGGCAGGGAAGAGAGTAAAAAGGAGGAGATAAGGAGGGGAGGAAGGAGAGGAGGAGGAAGAGAGAGGGGAGGAGATCAAGAGGGGAGAAAGAAGGATGAGAGGAGATAAAGAAGGAGAAAAGGGGTGAGAGAAGGAGAAGGTGGGTGAGAAGGAGGAGATCAAGGCAGGGAGAAGCGGAAGAAGATGGAGGGGAAGAAGAGAGCGAGAAGGCGGGGATGAAGGCAGGGAGGAGAGTAAGAAGGAGGAGATAAGGAGAGGAGGAGGATGAGAGGGAGGAGGAGATCAAGGGGGAAGGAAGAAGGATAAGAGGAGATAAAGAAGGAGAAAAGGGGTGAGGAGGAAAGAAGGAGGGGAGGGAGAAGGAAGGGAAAGAAGAGAGATAAAAGGAGATGAAGGGGGAAGGAAGAGGAGGAAAGCTGAAGAGATCGAGAAGGAAGGAGAGGAGAGGTGAATGAGTCGAGGAGGAGGGGAGGGAGGAAGGGAAGGAGGAAAACTAGGAGGGCAGGAGGGAGTGAGGATCTACGGGTACGTGTCGGAGTTCCTGTGTGGGGCTAGGGGCTCTGACACTGCTTCCCCCTCCTGTGAGGGATGGTCCCCAAACAGCCCCGCCAACCAGCCACAAGCGAGCGAGTCCCGGAAACGTGTCGCGCCCCGTCAGCCCACCCCAGATCCGGCCCAGGCTCCTCCGCCCGGCCCGCCGCAGAGCTCACCGCCGGTACACTCACCATCTTGGCGACTTAATCGAGCCCACTCCGTGGAGAAGAAGCAAAGGCCCCGCTCCGGCCACTCGCGCATCCGCGCTCCTTCCTCCGTTTCCATGGCAACTGGGGGGGGGGCGCGAGGGAAAGCTAAACGTTCCGTCTGGCAGAAGCGCCCTCCCGAGAACGCGGTCCGCAGGGCTCTTGGTTCCACTCTGCTTCAGGCAATGCGAAAAGAGATCCTGCTTTTCTCTCTCTCAGAGCTACTCTAGGCCACATCTCTGGCTTTTTAGTTCTTTTTATTTCTTCTTTCACTGCCTGGCTGGAGAATTCACCACCTACAGGCCATCTTTCTAGCCTCTGTACACCTCCCTAGCCAGGCTCGAAGGCAGGTCCTGTCCTCAGGACCCTACTGAAGGCTTCCCAGCTTGATAAGAGTTAGCGTTTGTAGAGAGCTTTAAGGTTTGCTAAGCGCTTTAATACGTCATTCTTATTTGATCTTTACACCAACCCTGTGAGGTGGTCAGTCAACTAGCATTTGTACTGTACTAAGTCCAAAGAATACAAAGTTAAAACGACCACAGTGTCTGTTCTCAAGGAGCTCACAGTCTAATGGGGCTTTAGCTGAGACGAAGGAAGCCCGGTAAGCAAGAGAGGCAGAGCTTGCCGGCCACCGGTGATGGAACGTCCTGGACAAGGCCCAGCTTGCCAGGTCACTGGTAGGTGCCATTACTACCTTTCCCATTTTACAATTAGAAAAATGAGACAGAAAAGCATTGTTTACAGGACGAGGAGACTGAGCCTGAGAGAGGTTAGGTGATGCACCCAGGGTTACACAGCTAGCAAATATCTGAGGCAGGATTTGAACTCAGAACCTTCGGACCGACCTGCTGCGGCACCCAGCCCGAACTCCATGTCAAGCTCACCTAACCTTCAGGAGCCCACGGTCACCGCCACGCAATAAGGCAGCATCACCATCGGAAGAGGACTTGAGGTTATAGCTTTTGGAGCCGACTACAATCCCAGTTCTAAAACACCTCGGGGAGGAGGCTGCTGACTCGACGTGTGTGACATTGGGCAGGACACCGTCTCCCTCTCTGGGCCTCAGTTTCCTCATCTGAAAAACAAGAGGTCTGAACTAGAGGATGACTGACGTTTCTTTGAGCTCTAGTTCTCTATGACCTCCTTTAGAAGGATTGTAATTTTCGGGGAACCATTTCCGGTGGGGACAGCGTTCTTTCGTTTCCATAGTAACCCAGTAGGCGCTGACACGTGGTCTCTGCCTGGGGAAGTGAAATAAACCAGGAGTGAACTCTGCTCCAAGTAGACAGTTGGCCACCTTAGGTCAAGCGCTGTGTACGTACGGAAGTGCTGATGATACCAGCAGACACTGCAATATCTGGGTCATACACAGATGGATAGAGCTAGACGGGATCTCAGAAGCTATCCCTAATATTTTACAGATAAGGAAACTGAGGCCCAGAGAGGTCAGCAGTAGTAGAGGCAGAAGCAGAGTCGGTGTTTGAATTTATGTCCTACTGTTATGCTGCCTCCAGCCTTCCTTCTCCAGCACCAGGCTCTCTCACATGAGGTGTATTTGTGAGCACATCTCTCCAGTACAGATCACAACCTGACTTAACTTTCTTGTCCAATCCTTCATGTAAATTCTCCATAGAAACTCTGTACGAAAGGATTAGAGACCTTCTTCTGCGTCTTTTCACATCTTGTGGAGGATGAGGGGTTGCCCATGTGTTATTCTTTGTTTTGTCTACATGGCCAAACCACTTCCTTTTCCTGTCATACATGTACCAGTTCTTGGTGCAAATCATTGGCAAATCATTGGTCTGTGGTTTCATGCCAATATGAATTTGTTTCCTGATATTCAGTAGTGTATCAACCTATTGGTCTTTGTACAACTCACAATTTGAGCATTAACAATGAAACTAGCCCTTGTAAGTAGTTGTTGTGTTGTTGTTTTTTTAATGATGGTTCTCTGCATTCTGTTCTGCAACTTTGTTACTGTCATTGCAGAAGCAGTTGAGGACTCGAGAATTTTTTTTGTATTTTGATGTGATTCCTTGATCTCCATGGCCAAAAAAATTTTCCTACTGGCCAGACTGACAGTAAGCCTCTCCCCTAGGCTGGTAACCTAGGCTGGTTAGATGCCCACAGACTCAAAATATGCCACACCTTTTACTCAAAGACTTTTCAGCTTAATGTGATATGCCAAAGCTCCAACAGGCACTTTGGGCAAAGCTTTAGAAAATCCAGAGTTACTGGCACGCCACAACAAGGCATCAAAGTATGGCTTTTATGGAAGACACATGTAAACTATATGAGCTTGATTATCCCCTCAAAACAAGTAATTCCCAGACCTGGATCTCTATTCTCCAATCTCTCTGCTAGTTCTACTCCCCCTTTTCTAACTGCTTCTGAGTTATCTCCAGCTGGATAGACAGCTTCTTCCCCTACTAAACCTGACCTTCCCTCCAATCCCTCTGTTTCTATTGATGGCACACCATGCTCCCAACTATCAGGACTTAAAACTTTTGAAAAATTCTTAACTCCTCACCCTGCACATCTAATGAATTGCTGAGTCCTGCTGATCTTGCCTCTATCTCTTCTATCCATTGCTTGCTCTCAATTCTCACTGCAAGCACAATTATTTGGGTCTGTATCTCTTAAAAAATTTATTCTGGACTTAACAAATACCAAATAAAATTAAAATTTTTATATAAAAAGGAAAAGAGGATGTTTTATTAAACTACAAATCTCTAATAACTACAGCTTTATTTTCCTTGGTATAAGAAATATTACTAAATATTTGTTATATAACAAATACAACCTGTAGCTTTCAAAGTACTTGTCTGTTTGCTTGGTTTGAGTAAGGATTGTGAGCAGGTAATGGATACAAAAACCATTGATTCACCTGTAGGTAGGGTGTTGTGAGGTTTAATCCATGGTATTCCAGGCCTGTTTCTCCCACCATTCCTTCTATTTGATTTCTACTTTCACCCTTGTCTCCTTGTATACATTTAGAAAGAAATCTCTTAATGGCAGCTCTTTTATTTTATTGTTGTTGTCCTTGGTTGCTGGATTTCTTCGTATTTCTGTTGTTTGGGGTGTTTGAAGAGCAAATAATCTCTTCTGTTTTTCTTTCTAGGAATGTTTCAAATGCCTTTTTAAAATTGAATATCCATCTTTTTTCATTCATTTTTAGGCTTGGATTTTCTAGGTGTATCAACTTGGGCTGTATCTTGAACACACTTGCTTTTCTCAACAAGTTACTCCATTCCCTCCTGTGGTTTCTGGTGGGTGCATAATAGTCTTGTGTTACTCAAATCACCTTTCCTTTACATATGAACGTCTTTCTTCTGGCTACTTGTAAATTTGTTATTTGTTTAGGGGTATTGTTAGATTTAACCACTAGGTGTCTTGAAGTTTGCAGCATAGGTTTTGATCTGTTTTGTTTTCTTGGAGGCAGTCTGTGGATTCTTTCTATTGACATTGTTTTATGTGTTCCAAAGTTCTGGACAGTTTTCTTATGTTATTTCTGGCATTGTGTGTTCAATTTTTTTGACTGATCATGTTCTTTTGGGAGATCTACAATCATTAAGTTGTCTATGTGCATCCTATCTTCTACAACATTATAGTTTGCTTGTAAGGAGATCATGCTTCCTTTTAATGTTATTGCTTTTTGCTTCTCTTCTTCCAGATTGTTCTTCATTTCTGTATCTTTACACCCCCAATCCTCTCTTTTCTTTGGTGAGACTTGCCACTGTGGATTCAAGTATTTCTATTATGCCAATGACTTCTGTTATACAAGTCATAAATTCTGCATTTGTAATTCTTATTTCTCTTTTAAATCATTCAGGAACATCCTGCTGTTGTTTCATGCTTTCTTGGGAATCTGCAAGATCCTCTGCCTTGTTAGTTATTGATTCGTTTTCCTTTATCTTGCAGTATTTATTCATATATGTCTGGACTTTTATTAAATCTAGAGGCCATATTTCCTTTTGCTATTAATATCTTCCCTTTTGGCTTGTCTGCTTATTTCAAGGTCTTTGAGTTTTCTTCCTCCTCAGATTTTTGATAATTTCAGATTTCTTCCTTATTTTCCCTTTTGCTCACTTTCTGACTTCCTGCTCTTTGATGGCGATTTCCCTGAAGGCCAGATATCAAAGCATCTCAACCTCTGCCCTTGCTTGGTCTGTGCCTCAGTGACTTCTGGGGGAATAGAGCTGATCCTAGCTAAATGATGGGCTCTCTCTTTCTTAAGCTTAGTTGAGTGCCACATAGCTCCCCACAAACATATCCCTCTCAGTTCTCTCTGTTCCCACTCAGTGGCACAGAATGATGCCATGCTGCTGTCACGGCCTCAGTTAAGTTCTACCATTTGGAGCTCCACAGAACTTAGAAGAGGGGTTGGGGATTGGGAGATCGGGGTACAGAGTTGAGTTCTATTGTAAGAATGTGAGTTGGCATATGCAGCCCTGCTCCAAGGAGCGTGGTGGGAGGTGGATGAGGGAGTGACAAGGGAATAAGTCTACTATTAGGAGTTAGGGATTATTGGCCTTCTTCGCCGTTAGTCAATTTTTTTTAACCTTATTGGAATCCTTAGTGTTTGGGTGTATATATGCACTGGGATGGACAGTATGTTCAAAAAGGACTAGCACCTCTGGTATAGGGACTTACAGAGCCCTTTTCAGGGCCCTTCATCCACCTTTGGTGTCCACCTGCCACCCAACTCTCACTTGTGGCTCCAAGAAGCAGTGGCATGTACAGTGGCCTCACTCCAGCATAACCATCTTGGCAGACTGGTTAAACCAGTTTGAGGGTAACTGAGAGGCCTCAAACCTGTAGGTGAATTAGGGGGATGTCTACTCCAAGCATGTGAAGACTCCCCCTATAGAAAAGGCAGATGAGAACAATTTGTTCCAAGGACCATGAAGATGACTGAAACAAGTGGGGTGGAATGCTTAGAGCTTGGTCAGACACCAAAGATGCTAAGGTCATTCACTGCATCTCAGGCCACAGCCAGTCATCTTGACTTTTGTTTTGCCTCTGGATTTCAATGGCTCTGCTTCACAAATCAGATTCACATGCAATTCAAGACATCACCCCATGAAGTCATTGGTCCTCTTTGAAAGGAAGGATAAATGGTGTCCTACATTGTGGAAAGAGCTAAAATTGCTTTATTTCTAGCATATAATTCCTACTTAGAAGAGGTCTTAAAGGGCATGAGAATTAGAGAAAATATCTAGTCTTCCAACTCATTGGTCATGAGACCAAAGATCTATGTAATCTAATGTCAATTGATTTGTCACTGCTGCATTGAAGTCCTTTGACTCTTCTGTGACTATCATTTTAAAAAAGTTTAATTGATTAATTTTTAATATCACTTCCCAATTACTCCTCTCACCATATTTACTCCCTTATAACTATAGTGAGAAGGGCAGGTAGGTGGCTCAGTGGTTACAGTGCTGGGCCTGGAATCAGAAAGACTCCTCTTACTGAGTTCAAATCTGGCCTCACACACTTATTAGCTGTGGGTCCCTGGGCAAGTCACTTCACCCTGTTTGTCTCAGTTTCTTCATCTGTAAAATGAGCTGGAGAAGGAAATGGCAAGCCACTCAGGTATCTTTGCCAAGAAAATCCCCAAATAGGGTCACAAAGAGTTGAACACAACTGAACAACAATAAAACGTAGTGAGAACATAGACTCAACTTCCTTTTCTCTTTTTCTGGGTCGACTTGCTCAACTGACCACTACTGACACTAAAAGGCTGGGATTCCTAGAGTGAGCAGCCATGGACACAACATTTTCACAGCTTTAGGGGGTAACCCTGTCGGGTGGACTGTAAACTATAGCTCCTCAATCCCCACAAGTATGCTTTTCATTTAACAAAGCAGCCAAGAAAAACTCCATTAATATAATCAGAAATATTTACTGAACAGAAAAGGAGGATTATATATGAAGCAGTGAATCTGTGCTATGTATAGCTTCCTTTTATTAGAGCATATACTAAATTTAACCCATGACTTTCAAAGCTATCTTGCTTGTCCGTTTCCTACTGAATTTCCTTCTTTTCTCTTCTATTCATTTCTAAAATGATTCAATGACACTCTTTCTTTTTTGAGGGTATCCTTCCAAATCCTCCCCCACTCAACTGAAAAGAAAAAGATCCTTCTAATAAATAAGTCTAATCAAGAAAAATAAATTTGGAGGCTATTGTGGTATGATTGCTGGCCTAAATCTAATTTCTGACAAACTATTTTTCAGTTTCTCCAGCAGTTTTAGTAGAATAATGAGTCCTTACTCTAGCAGTTGGGGGCTTAGAGTTATCAAACTATGTTGCTTTGCTTCTGTATGTTGTATACCTAATCTGGTCTGCTGACCAATCTTTCTTTCTTTCTTTTTTTTCTCTTTCTTTCTTTCTTTCTTTCTGTCTTTCCTTCTTTCTTTCTTTCTTTCTTTTTTAGGTAGTAATGTCATTTTATTACATTAGCATGACCCAACGCTGAGCAGTTAATACATCTAAATTATTTAAGTCGTTTTTTCACATTTAATTTTAATTTTATTTTTTCTCAATTACATGTAAAGAAAAATTTTAACATTCATTTTTAAAAAATATTTTGAGCTCTCTGCAAGGATGGTTCAGTGGTAGAATTTTTTTTTTAATTCTTTTTATTTATTTTTAGTTTTCAACATTCACTTCCACAGGATTTTGAGTTCCAAATTTTCTCCCCATCTCGTCCCTCTCCCCACCCCAAGATGGCATGCATTCTGAATACCCCTTTCCCTAATCTGCCCTCCCTTCTATTTCTCCCCCCTTCTCTTATCCCCTTCCCCTTCAATTTTCCTGTAGGGCAGGATAGATTTCTATACCCCATTTCCTATATATCTTTTCCCCCAAAACAATTTTTTTAGCATTTGTTTTTAAAACTTTGAGTTCCAAATTTTCTCCCTTCCTCCCTCCTCACCCACCCTCATTGAGAACGCAAGCAACTCAATACAGTTTATACATGTGTAGTCATGCAAAACACTTCCAAGTCATGTTGTGAAAAACTAAGTATATTTCCCTTATTCCTATTCTGCCCCCATTTATTCTATTCTCTCTTTTGACCCTGTCCCTCCTTAGAAGTGTTTGCTTCTGATTGCCCCCTTCCCCAATCTGCCCTCCCCTCTATTATCCCCCTTCTCTCTCTCTCTCTCTTTTTTTTTTTTTTTTTGCTTTTTTGGTGAGGCAATCAGGGTTAAATGACTTGCCCAGGGTCACACAGCTGGTAAGTATCATGTGCCTGAGACTGGATTTGAATTCATGTCCACCTGACTCCAAGGCCAGAGTTCTATCCACTGTGTCACCTAGTTGCTCCCCCCTCCACTCACTTGTCCCCTCCCCCCCATTTTCCTATAGGGTAAGACAGATTTCCATACCCAATTGAGTGTGTATGTTATTTCCTCTTTAAGCCAAATCCGATGAGAATAAGATTCACTCATTCCCTCTCACCTTCCCCCATTTCCCCTCCACTCTTAAAGCCTTTTCTTGTCTGTTTTATGTGTAATAATTTATTCCATTCTACCTCTCCCTTTCTCCTTCTCCCAGTATAATCTTCTCTCACCCCTTAATTTTATTCTCCAGATATCACCCCTTCATCTTCAACTCAACCTGT